GCTCGGTTGCTCCACCCGGAAATGCTACTGCCTTGCCATTGATGCTTCTGTTTGCACTCGTTTGATCACTGAAAATTGTGCCAACTCCTAGAATGCCTCTGCTTCAACTTAGGAGCACACTTGTGCAAAAATTCATTGGTGGCCGGTCGGCTACAAAAAGTGGCCGTCGGCTACTATAACTGGCCCATCGGTTACTGCTAGTGGCCATCGGCCACTACTTCTGGCCGTTCGGCCACCCCTGCCCTGAACTTCCTTTTTTGCTGCAACAGAGAGCAAACAGAGGCAAAATAGTGTATTCTCAAGAAGTATATGTACTGCTACCCTCATTATCATCACACAAGTTCAAAGGAGTGTAGCTCTTAGCCCTCAAACCATCAACCAAGCAATTTTCATGCATGATGGGCAAAGAACCAAGCTTGTACAAGCTTAATGAGTGCAAAACAAGACTCAATAAAACTGCCAACATATTATGCATGATCGAGGGTAATGGTGACCAAGGAAAATGGTACGTTTCATCACTTTGAGTATGAAACGTCCCATTTCTCTCGTGTTCAAATTAACGTCCGATCTGAACACATGCAATGCAACATGAAAGATGCTTATCTTGCCTCTTTTACTTGTCATGTTTTATGTACTCATTTTAGATTACCAATCCATTCTTTAATTGATTAGTCCAATAATGAGTGTCTTCTAATGGAAGAGTTGTCAACCAAGGGATGGCTTAAGGCAAAAGAGAGGTCATGCCATTGGTTAGTAGAAACCCTCAAAAGAGGATTGAAATCATTAAGCACGAACCTTGATCTCAAGCTTAAACACAACCCTCAAGTTAAACAACCCTCAAAGCAAACGAAAAAGTGAAGAAGTGAGGGAGGTTGCTGATATTTAGGTGCTGGAATTAGGCATGAAAAAGTATTAAAACATGTAACCAAGACACACAAATGATGCTCAAAACCCAAAAACACTAAGCTAGTGAAGGAATTAACCCTACAACTATGCAAAACAAGGCACAAAAGCAACAACCAACCCAAAACAGATGCAAAACAACCCAAAATATAGCTTAAAACATTCTGAAATTCAGCTAACACAAGCTAGAATAATAGGCTAAAACATGAAGCATGTTAGACTAGTAAGCAAGACACAAGGAGGGGATGCTACCTCCTCCATTTTTGGACTTCAAAACATGTTTTTATCTACTAAAATAGTTCTAAAAAATAGTGTTTAAAAGCTGAGAAAAAGATAGCAAAAGGGTGGGAAACACAAGGGCAAAGGCCTCCAAAACAAGGTACAAAGAAGGGCTATCAACCCCTCAACCTTTAATGGCCTTAGGACCCAAGCTTCAGCCCAAAAACACAGAGTTTTTATAGCCCAAAATCAGTTGGAACACATGCTGGAATGAAGACAAGAGGAGCTAAAACAATAAGCTAAAAACACAGGGTTACACTACAACCATGCAAAAGACTACTCATGCAACACAAACAGCTCAAAATAGAGCTAAAGAAGCCCAAATCAGAGGCAAAAACATGCTATAAATAAGCTAAGTTAAGCTACAAAAACATGCTAACATATGAAGCTAACTAGGCATGAAAGCTAAACACAAGGAGGGGAGGCTAACCCCTCCAATTTTGGACCTAAAAACAAAGTTTTTACCACTGAAAAATCTCTGAATTTCAGTGGTTAAAAGGCCAAAAGAGTTGGTTTGAAAGTGATGAAAAGATGGCACAACAGCTTAACAAGCAAAGAGATAAGAAGGGTAAACCACTCTCAAACTCAAAATAGCCTCAAACTACCATTTTTAAGCCTAAAAAATAGAGGTTTTTGTAGTTAAAAACCGGGCCAAAAACAGTACAAAAAGATTGCAAAAACAAGTATGAAAAACAAACTTAAAGGATAAAGGTTATACCTCTTGAAGCACAGCACAATTCAAGCACAAATGAGGCATCAAATCAAGCTAAAATCACCTTCTAAAGCTCAAAGAAGGTCCCAAGGAATCTTAGCCCAAAGATAAGCAACTTTGGTCAAGGATGTATAGGCAAAGGAGAAGTGTATTTCTGCTTCTATGCATAAAGGTTCAAGAGAGAGAGAAATGTAGAGAGAGAGAGAGACTTCCAAAATATTTCACTACTAAAATGTTCTAACCTTGAAAACAATAGAGAATGGCCTCTATATATAGAAAAATATGGCTTCAGGTCAAAAATATCAACACAAGACAACTAGCATATTGTGGGAGATAATTGGATGAAAATATCTACAAGATCTGAGCTTTTTTCAATGGTGGCCGATCGGCCAGAAGTATGCATTGTCGGCCACAGCCACCAAAAATCTGCTTCAAGGCGCAAATTTAAATGGGAATAACTCCTTCATCTGGACTCCTTTGCAGGTCATTCTTGTGTCTAAATTGAAGCCCCAGAAGTAATCTCTCCAATGGTGGCAACCTCATATAAAAATTCTAAGTGTGCTAAGAGATATCCCTCTTTAGTGAAGACTGCTCAGTTTCAGTCCAACCGAATTGATGCCTAATTTCCAACAACCATATCTCCCTCATCCAGATTTGGATTTAGGATATTCTTGAGTGTAAAATGAAGCCCCGAAAGTCCAATTTCCAATGGTAGTGGCCTCATAGCTGAAATCCAAGTGTACAAAAAGATACGCCTGATTTAGCGAGGGCTGCCCGACTCTCTCTTAACGATTCATGCCCAACTTCTTCCCCAACTAGGTTTCTTCCCTCTCCTCTACCTTTCTTCAACCCCAAACCTCTAAAAAAGATTTTTTAAAGATTTTTTCAAAAATTTCACCTCTCTTTCATTCATTTCCACTTTGTCCTTGCTCGGTTTACCGAAAAGCGCAATATTTAATGAAATGCGAGCCTCGGAATATTGAAGGAACTTTTTTTCAAAAATATTTTGAAAGAAAAGATTTTTTCAAAGATTTCACCTCTCTTTCATTCATTTCCACTTTGTCCTTGCTCGGTTTATCGAAAAGTGCAACGTTTAACGAAATGTAAGCCTCGGAACATCGTAGGAACTTTTTTTCAAAAATATTTTGAAAGAGAGGGTTTTAAAGTCTAAAATCATTTTGGCCAGAATGGTTTTGGTCCAAAAAGGGTTTGTGGGTTGGGATTTGACACTCTCCTTGCCGAAAAAATTGATCATTTGCACTGCACAACTTTCATCACCAAGTAAGCAATCAGTGACGCCCAAGTCTTACGGACAGTCAAAAATGGGGTGTCTACAACGTCATAAATGTATCAACTTTGATCAATATGGTAATATCACTCAAACATTTAATTTATATAAACTAAAGCAAAGTAAGTTTTAAAATCCAAGTATATGCCATTATTAATTAGGAAACGTTTTCAAAATACTTATAGAAAAATAAATTAATACTTAATTTTTTAAAACCTTCTAAAGTTTCTTATACAAAAAATAAATTATTTTTATTTTTATTACAAGATTAATATATCGTTCATTCTCAAAAAATATTCATTCCTTTCAGTTAGCCATATAGTCTTTTTTTTTTCTTTTTTGAATTTGCAGAATGAAAGCAAAATGAAAGAGACAAAAAATCATAGAAAAATAAATGCATTTGATAATTGTAAAGAAAATCCACTTTTATTTAGTTAATTTCATTTTGTTTACTTTGGATTCATTATCCAAAAATAGCATAAATAGGGTACAATTGTCCAGTTTAAATTATATGCAATTATCTTAAATAGATGTAAATAAAATATAGAAATTAAATTAGTTATTGTTTTTACTTATTTCTCAGCAAAACTTTTATTTATGCACAATTGATTGAAAACACAAATTTTTTTTAAAATTTTTTTAGCCAGATTACTAAATTACCATTTAAGTAGAGTGTAATTACACTTAATTCACTAATTGTAAATCAAACAAAGTGTCATTAGAAGTTGATTGTAGGGTTGGAAGGTGTAAGAGTGGTAGGGGTAGCGACTCTAAAAAAGTGATTGGGAGAAGAGATGGTAGTTAGAGGTGGTTAATCAAGGGGTGTGAATTGATTTAGAGATTGGTTGGGGGGGTTTATTATGGAAGGCTCCATTTGGGGGTGACTCGGGGAAGGGTTGCTACTTGTTGGTGGGAGTGGGGTGCAAACTACTTATGGTGGTTCACAAAAACAAATACAAGAGAGAGAATTTATAATCTAAAAACAGATTTATTTCACTCAAATATTTAGAATACACTGAGGAGAGGAAGCACACTTTTACTCTCTAACTCTCTTCTTTCTCCCACACTCTGAATTCTCAAAATACATTAGCTATATATAGATAAAACTAGCAATGTGAAACCATTAAATGAAAATGCAGCTGAGGTTGTGAATTTCAAACGATTGCAACCACTTTTGACAAACTTGATTTCAGCCTCCATTTTCTACTCTTAGGCGGTGGAAAAACGATTTTTTATTATAGGTGAAGCAAGATTACTTCACAACAGCCCCCCTTAATCTTGGTTCTCCATGCTGCTTCATCCCGAGCATCAACTTTATTCTGTTGAACAGATCATTTTTCAATGGCTTCGTGAAAATATCTATAAGCTAATCTTGAGATTTGTAAGTAAATAATTCTACCTCTTTATTTTTCACATGCTCTCGGATAAAATGATAGCGAGTGTCAATATGCTTACTTCTTTCATGATAAACTAGGTTTTTTGCTAATGCAATTGCTGAGCGATTATCAACATAGATCTCAGTAGGATTTTCTTGTGGAAATCCTAAATGCTTTAGCACATTTCTTAACCAAATTGCATGACACACAGCTGAGTTGGCTGCAACATCACAATAGCTTGCTTCTTGGACGACCAAGTGAACACTATATTTCCCATAAAGAAAACAAATCTAGTAGTACTCTTTCGTTCATCTAAGTCACGTCCCCAGTCACTATCTGAATAGCTAACAAGACTGAAATTATCAGTTGGTTTATAGAATAAACCATCATCGATTGTACCTTTGATATAGCGAAGAATTCTCTTTGCTGTATAAAGGTGTGACTAATCCGGTGTTTCCATATATCTGCTAATCAGTCCTACGACATAAAGTATGTCTGGCTTGGTGCAAGTAATATAGCGAAGACTTCCAACTAAGCTCTCGAAATAAGTTGGATCCATATCACCTGCCTTTGTACCTTTTTTGAGCTCCACTCCACTGTCTATAGGAGTGTTCACTGGATTGCAATTCTCCATTCCATATCTCTTGAGAATTTCCTCGACATAGCCACTTTGGGAAATAAAAATTCCGTATTTTCTTTGTGCCACTTTAATGCCGAGAAAATGAGCCATCAATCCAATATCTGTCATTTCAAGTTCTTGGACCATGCTTCTTTTAAATTTTTTGAACATGGTTGGATTGTTTTCGATGAAAATTAGATCATCAACATAAAGACAAACAAGCAAGCAACATGCTTCCATCAACTTCCTTCTTCAAATATAGTGCGTGCTCATATGGACATTTTTCAAAACCATTGTCATGAAAATACTGATCAATTCTAGTATTCCATGCACGCAGAGCTTGCTTCAATCCATAAAGTGCTTTCTTCAATTCCATTCTGAACATACCTCGAAGGTTGTTCAATATAGATTTCTTCTTCAAGAAAACCATTAAGAAATGCAGATTTCACATCAAGTCGATAGATCTGCCATTTGTGCTGAGCAGCCAAAGAAATCATTAACCTGATAGTCTCCAATCGGGCAACTAGAGCAAACACCTCTCCATAATCAATTCCAGCTCTCCGCTTGTAACCTTTTGCCACTAATCTTGCCTTATAGCGTTGCACTTCGCCTTGTGCATTCCTCTTTGTCTTGTATACCCATTTCACTCCAATGGGTTTGTGCCCCTCCGGTAGACTGATAAGCTTCTATGTGTCATTTTTCTTAATGGCATGAATTTCTTCATCCATTGCTTTCTTCCATTTATCTTCTTGGATGGCTTCTGAGAAGGTAAGTGGATCACTCTTTGTGAGTAGGGAAAACAAATTCAGATCTTCTTATTCTGTAGCTTCATATATCTCCTGCAAATTTCTCATTGGTCTTGGTTGTTTGAAAAAACTATCATCTGATGATGATGATGATGCATCACTTCTGTGAGAAACTGGCGATCTAGGTGCAGGTATTCTATGTGGAGGAGTTTGTGGCTTATCTTGAATTACTCTTATGATTTCAACTGGAGCTTTTGATGTTTCATCTTCAAGAATGAGTTTTGCATCTTTAACAACTTCATCTTGATTCTAGTCCCAAGCTTCTTCTTCTTCAAATATCACATCTCTACATGATCACTTTTCTGGTAATGGGATTATACAACTTGTATCCCATTGTTCTGTCTCCATATTCGACAAGGATACATTTTTCTCCCTTATCATCGAGCTTGGTTCTTCTTGCTTCTGGAATCTTGGTGTATGTAACACACCCAAATATTTTGAGATGGTTAACACTTGGTTTATGTGAACTCCAAGCCTCTTCTGGAGTCATAGAGTGAAGGCTCCTAGTTGGGTATTTATTTAGTAGATACACAGCACATGATACGGCTTCAGCCCAAAATTGCTTGGGCAATCCTTTTCCTGTCAACATGCTCCTTGCCATATCTAAGATTGTACGATTCTTCCTTTCATCAACACCATTCAGCTGTGGCGTATAGGATTGTGTTGTTTGATGCTTGATTCCTTGCACTTTACAAAATCTTTCAAAAACATCAGATGTATATTCTCTACCTTGATCTGACCGCAATGTCTTGATGTAGTAGCCGCTTTGCTTTTTTACAAAAGCTTTGAAATCTTTGAAGATACTGAACACCAGCGACTTTCTATTAAGAAAATACACCCATGTCTTCCGACTATAATCATCAATGAAGGGGAGAAAATATCTATTCTGTCCATTTGACATTGGCTTTAATGGACCACACACATCAGTGTGCACTAGCTCCAGCGGCTTTATTGCTCTCCATTTCACTTCTTTGGCAAAGCTAGTTCTGTGATGCTTGCTAAGAATGCAACTTTCACAGACTTCATTAGTATGAGCAATATAAGGGAGCCTTTTCACCATATTCTTACTTGACAATAGCTTCAAGCTTTCAAAGTTGAGATGTCCAATCCTCAAATGCCATAGCCAGTCTTTGTTTTTGATGATAGCACTTAAACACTTCGCAGCATCATGTTGGATGTTCAATGCAAACATCCGATTCTTTGACATTCTCACTCGAGCGATCAAATTACCATGATTGTCTTTGATGATAAGATGAAAATCTTTCATGCTGATGTCGTATCCTTTCTCTAGGAGTTGTCCTATACTCAAAATGTTGTTCTTCATGGCAGGAACATAATAAACATTGGAGATGTAATCATGATCTCCATTCTTGAGTTTGATCAGAATATTACTTCTTCCTTTCACTGGAGTCTTTGAAGAATCACCAAATGAGACTTGTGTTTGTACAATCTCGTCAAGCTCGACGAACAACTCTCTTTTTCCACACATATGACAACTGGCTTCCAAATCTAAATACCAAACATCGTTTTGGTTTACAATATCTCCATGGTAGACAAACAGGACTGTAGGTCCGACTTTGTTTGTTTCCTACTCGGCAAAATTTACTTGCTCTCTGGCTTTTGTTGTTGCTCTACTTCGGCATTCATTACTGTAATGCTTGAACTTGTGACAATGGTAGCACTAAACATTACTTTTGTCAAATCCTAGTCGGTTGTTGTAACCACCTCCTCTTCCTCTTTCTCTTCCTCTTGGAGCAAAATGTGATTGACTTCTTCCTCCTCCGGCTGGACCTCTTCTGTCTCTTTCTCAAAAACTAGAACTTCGGTTATTGTAACCACGGCCTCTTCCTCGGCTTCTTTGTGATGTCCCCCCTTGCTCGTTTCTGTCATCTCTGAAAGACAGCTTTGATTGAAGAGCTTGCCCTAGAGAACTTGAGGGAGTCTTCTTGTTGATCCTTTGTTCATGAATCTCTAGTGTGCCCATCAGCTTATCGGTAGTCATGGCACTGAGATCCTTGGACTCTTCACTTGAACTTGGGACTAAGTGATCGGAGAATCATCTCTATCACTTGAAGAGATTCCATGTTATCTCCATATCTTCTCATCTGATTAACAATGGTCAATGTTCTGTCGAAGTACTCAGAAATTGACTCATTCTCATTCATGTGCAACATCTCGAATTCGCCACGTAACACCTGGAGTCGAACTCTGATCGTCTTCTTAATTCCACGGTGTGAATTGCAAAGAATACTCCATGCCTCTTTAGAGGTTGCTGCTGGTGAAATCTTCTCAAAGCCTGACTCATTAATACCTTGATAGAGCAGATACAAGGCCTTTTTATCTCTCTTCCTTGAATCTTTTAATGTCGTCTTCTAAGCTTCATTTAAATTTCCTTCATCTTCGAGAGTAGCTGGTTTGTCATATCCTCGATCCACTAACTCCCACAAATCTTGTGAGGCTAGTAGGACTTGCATTTGAATACTTCAATTTTCATAGTTCTCCTGGTTGAGTTTTGGAAACTGGGGTTGAAAAAAATTATTTGTATTGGCCATTAGTTGACTTTAAGAAATCTGCAAATTTTCAGGATGAAATTTGAAAATTCTGACCATACAGATTTGTCTGGAATATTTCAAATAGTTGGAAAGCACTATTGGATCACCAAAAATGGACTTCAAACAGCTTAGATCTAGCAAAAAATAATTGAACGGCTCAGATCGGCGGAATCTGGAACTTCTGAGAAGCAGCGGATAATTTCTATGGATCAGATGACGTCAGCGTGACATCAGGGGTGTGGCTTGGCTCAGTCTGCGGCTTGGCGGCGCTACTCCTCTGCGGCTCGGCTCGTGGCTCGGCTCAACTTGTGGCTCAACTCGGCTTAACAGCTCAGCTGACGTCATCAATGACGTTGTCAATGACATCAGCTCCTGGATACGGGTCCGGGTCCGGATCCGGGCTAATGGATCAGATCATACGTCAGACAGGTCAAACTCTGCAAATCTGGATGAAAAAGACATGTAAAGACGCGTGGGCGCATTTCTACGCTTGATGACGCGTCAAAGGCGCGTGAAGCGTGTGCAGTCTCTGTGGGACTCAGTTTTCAACGTGGTTTTTTTCAGTGTGATCGTCTCGATGAGACCTAAACATTGGTGTGATCAAAATTTAATTTCAACAACTTTGATTTCTAGGCAAAATTTGAAACGATGCTATGTTCTACTGTTTTTTTGAAAAAACAGGCCCTCCTGGTGCTCTGATACCACTATTGGTGGGAGTAGGGTGCAAACCACTTATGGTGGTTCACAAAAACAAATACAAGAGAGAGAATTTATAATCTAAAAACAGATTTATTTCACTCAAATATTTAGAATACTGTCGCAACCCCATTCCGCCCCTAGTAGAATGGTGCCATGATGGCCAGTAATCTGAAATTACCAAAGGCCAACTTACAAAGTTTCACACAATCAAAGTATACATATGGGGCTTACATGTGCGGAAGTAATAAATTTAAATCTAAGTAGTCCATAAGAGCGGTGCATAGATCTAATGAAATGTCGTACATCTTAATCATGGTTTTACACCTCGAATACAAGACAAAATAAAGTACATATTACATCTTGATCAAAAGGCTCCTCAAGCCGAAATGTGCAAAAGACATGAATCAAAGCTAAGAAGCATAATCTTCAAGATGTTAGCAAAGCGAGAATCCAAAACAAGCTGCAAACAAAACTTAGGCGACATCACCTTCTTACTCATCCCCTACATATATATAAAGGAGAGGGTGAACTTGAATACTCAGTGAATGATATAAGTAATAAATGTTTGAATGAATGATATCCGAGATCTTTATCAAAACAATACATATCATAGCTTGTACAAAATCAATGAATGAACCAAGTTCATCTATCAAAGTATTAATTTCAAAGCTTCAAGGGATACTGACTAGCATCAACATAATATAAGGGATGACATTCCTGACAAAACAAGGAAATAATTGACCCGGAATCGATTAGACAAACCCATCCGTACAAGACCGTCGGTGGCAAGGGAGATATCTCAAATAAGGGTACTAGTTGCATTATAGTCCCCTAGCACTAAGGACTTTCTAAGAATGTCATCAAAACAAAAGTAATACTTGATACAAAAGCTAATGGATAATCATTCATACTTGATCAAATACTTTTCCAAAACAAAACAAAGCAAAACTTTTATCAAAATATTATAACATAAAGTCTACTGAATGCATTTCAAGAAGACAAGAATGAATGCTCAAAGGGACTTGGGGTCACTGCTGTGCCTTTAGCACAGCAGTGACTGTTGTGTTTCATTTTGTAGTGCATTATGGATTTATTTTTATAATCTGAACCGTTCATGTTGTAAGATTCGTTCAGTACTTCATGCCTACCAACAATCATATTAATCGGATATCAATAACTATATGATTAGTAACCAAAAAAATAAACAAGAAGTTTTTCTTTTGAAAAATAGTATAAAAACATGCAATTCGATCATATAATTATTGATATCCGATTAGTATGATTTTTGGCAGGCATGAAGTACTCAACAAATCTTACAAAATTAACGGTTCAGATCATAAAAATAAACACATAATGCATCTCAAATTTTGGCACAACAGTCACTGCTGTGCCAAAAGCACAGCAGTGACCCCAATTCCTGCTCAAAGATGGTTGTGCAATGCATTCTTAAAATCTGAGACCCACTCTTGCCTAGACCTTACACCTAGGCCAAGCATCGTATCTCACTTTGGCCTACCTTGCATGATCACTTGCACCTTAGCCTATCTTGCATGCACACCTAGGCCAACCACCACACACCTAGGCCGACCATGGTACACCCTTGCCGGCACCTTGTAACATCTCGGCAGGCAGCCGCACACCTAGGCCTAGGAGACCACACCTCGGCTAAGAGGTATGGGACTTCGGCCAAGATTTCCTGAGTTCACCTAGCTAGGCCATAATATTTAGTTTTAATTCATTTGTATGCAAGATGTAAAATCATGTTAAGATGTATGACATTTCATTTGATCTATGCACGGTTCTTATGGACTACTTAGATTTAGATTTGCTTCCGCACATGTAAGCCCTATATGTATATTCGGATTATGTGAATCTTTGTAAGTTGGCCTTTGGTAATCTCGGATTACTGGCCATCATGACACCATTCTAGTAGGGGCGGAATAGGGTCGTGACAAATACACTGAGGAGAGGAAACACACTTTTTCTCTCTAACTCTCTTCTTTCTCCCACACTCTGAATTCTCAAAATACATTAGCTACATATAGATAAAACTAGCAATGTGAAACCATTAAATGAAAATGCAGCTGAGGTTGTGAATTTCAAACGGTTACAACCACTTTTGACAAACTTGATTTCAACCTCCATCTTCTACTCTTAGGCCGGTGGAAAAATAATTTTTTATTATAGGTGAAGCAAGATTACTTCACAACACTACTACTCAATTTTTTTTTCTATTTCATTCTCTAATTCATTATCAAATTTAACAAATTTTGATTGAGTTTCAATATGTAAATATAAATTGACAACTTTAGATTCTTATGTCATTCAAGAAATTTGGCATGAGTCCATAGGTACTTATATCTCTTAAGTGTAACAATTTTAATGCTATTTAAATGCTATTTAAATGCCAGTTCAAAAACTATTCAAATAGCATTAATTCTCTTTAAGGAAAGAATTGAATAGGTAGTCAACATTAGGTTGAAATGTGTCATTGATTTTTAGAAAAGAGTCTGAATCCTCAGTTGTGTTCTCCTGCGATGGTTGAGGAGAGAAAAAAATTTTCTGTCTGTTCTTTGTTTTTGTTTGTATTGATCTAATTTTTAGTCAATTTTGATTTATCATTTAGGATGTTCAAAGTGTTAATATGTATATATATATATATATTAGCGGTTGCCACACGCAATGCGTGTGCTATTCAAATAAATAAAAATAAAATAAGAAATTTATTTTATATTGTGTGCTAGTCAAGTGATAAGAGTTTTATTCATTTGACATAAGTCTAAGGTTCAAATTTTCTCCTCTCATCTATCTAATTTTTTTTATTTCAAATAAAAAAGTTAGACACGTGGCAGCATAATAAACAAAGGTTTCAAGACACCATAAGGGGTGTTCACTTTATAATAGTACTAGCGGTTGCCACACGCGATGCGTGTGCAATTCAAATAAATAAAAATAAAATAAAATATTTATTATATATTGTGTGCTAGTTAAGTGGTAAAAGTCTTACTCATTTAACATAAGTAAGGTTCAAACCTCCTCTCATCTATCTAATTTTTTTTTTTTATTTCAAATAAAAAAATAGACACATAGTAACATAAAGAAACAAAGGTTTAAAGATACCATAAGAAGTGTTCACTTTATAATAGGATAGATAGAAGATATATCATATTTTTTAACCTCCAACTTTTGTTTGAATGGTTGTTATATTGGTAAATTTGATTATTTTCAAAAGATCACAAATGCACGAAACAAGATCACAAATATTAGTGTTCTTCTAGGTGTTTCTCTGCTGGTGCTTCTTTCTTTTTATCCTCTTTCTCCTCTCCGGTTTTGTGTTGTTTTTTTTTTAAAAAGAAAAAAATTTATCCCAAAACGACATCATTTTGAGACATTACAAAAACCACTGCAGGGAAAGTATGGTAGAAGATCCGGACTCTTTAGAAAATAGGAAGGGAAGCATGTGAAAAACACAGAGAGCACTTTTTAAACAATGTATTATACACTTAAAACACAACTATTCAGTGAAAACATGTGGTGATGCTACCTATGCTCATTTATCATTATAGTGTGTGTTTCATTTACTCAAACATGTGTGGCTTTGTTGAGTTGGTGAGAGAGAGATAATAGATATTGGGAAATCACATCAACCTTCTTGTTTCTTTTGTGTTTCCACTGTGAAGCACGTAGTCTTTGTCCAACCAATAGTCAATTTAACTTTACGGTAAATTAAGAGCAAATTACGCGAATAATTCATATATTTTAATTTTGATGTCATTTTTTATCATTATAATTTTAATCGATTTAATTTTGACATCTAATTAATTATAATTATTAATATTTTTTAATGAAAAATATCCACATAAGTGTGTGTCATGATTTTATGAGCAACATTATAAGTTTGCTCAATTCAGTGAGTTAATCTTAATTAATTTAGTGATTATTTTTTTATAAAAAATACTAATGGCCAATCAATTAGACTAAATTGATATAAAATCTAAAATTAAGAATTAAAATTGAATTAATTAACAATAAAATATTTTGACTCAAAGTTGAAAAAAAATATTTAAGACAAAATAAGCTTAAAAAATAATACCAACTTATAACTCGCAAATTTTTTTTCTCTCTTTGGATGTATATATATTTAATTTTTTAAAGTAAATTTGTTTTTTCTTTTTTTTTTAATTTTTTTTAAAAATAAAAAAACACGAGTTATTTCACATCACAGCATGTAGACTATTGACAAGTTGCATACATGCTTTTTATCATTGCGCTTGTTTTTCAAACCTAATAAGAACATCTTGGAAAAGGACTCACATATAGAAAAATGTTAGAGGCTCTAAAATTTTTATCAAATATTTTTTATAAATTTAAATTTTACAGTTATGTGAGACTTATTTCATATAAAATATTTAGTAAAATATTTAATAAAAAATTTAATACGCCTAATATTATTCTATAATAAATCCATCAAGTTAGCTAAAATGTTGACACACATCATATGTCAAAATCAATTATAATTATATGATTGATGTTTGTTGGTATGTAATAATTGCGATGGGAACTCTATTGGCCATTTGGGAAGTAAATAAAAAATTAATTTTTTAATTAAAAAATTAATTTTTTATTTACTTCCCAAATGGCCAATAGAGTTCCCATCGCAATTATTACATACCAACAAACATCAATCATATAATTATAATTGATTTTGACATATGATGTGTGTCAAATGTAATAATTGCCATGGGAACTCTATTGACCATTTGGGAAGTAAATAAAAAATTAATTTTTTAATTAAAAAATTAATTTTTAACTAATTTTTCAAACCACTCATATGTTAAAGCATGAAACATATGTCCAATTAATAAACATTGTTCCAAAATTTGGGAAAACTTATAACACGTTTTTGAGAACATTACAAATCAGTTATTTTGGATATGATTTATTTTTTGATTTTTTGACTATTATAAAAAGACATATAAAAAAATAGAGAAGTAATGTGATAGAAATAAGCCAATAAACTAATAAATAGTTTATTTGAAGTGTCTCCAAAAGAGCACGTAATTGATGCTTTGAGCGTCCGTTTGAAAAGTAGATTGACTTTTTGACTTTTTGACTTTTTTGACTATATGAGCCTCGGCTCAAAAGCTTAGTTTTGAAAGGGCTTTTGGCTTTTTGACTTTTTTAGTTTTTTTGTGAGAGAAGAGTGTAATGATTATGGGGTTGGATGAAATATTTTGTCTGTTGTGGCTCATGAGCTTATTCTGTCTTTTATAGCTCATTGAGCCAAAAAAGCCCAATGAGCCCTTGCCAACCAACCCTGAAATTACTAATGACAACAAATTAGAATGCCTCTCTCTCAAAATATTACGACCAGCTAAAAAAGTAGAGAAAAAAAGATGTATATTTAGGATAATTTTTAACTTTTTACAAAAAGATATGTAATAAAATATTATAATAAAATCAAAATGACTATTCTATCCTTTTGAATTTTTGACTTTTTGGGTAGTTGAATTCAAAGGATAAAATAATAATTTTGCCCTCTAAGCTTCCCCGCAAGTTACCCTTGAATAGTATGGACTTTTTAATTTTTTTTAATAACTTTTTAACTTTTTAATTTTTATAGATTATCCCAAACAAAGCTGAGAAATGACAATATAGAAAAACCTTAGAAACATTTAAGTAGTATTGGTGTGGTATTTTTAAGTAAAAAATTAAGGTAAAAATAATTTTGCAAAACAAATAGAACAAGTTTTAAGAATATAGAAACTGATTATAAAATCAAACACAAAATGCATATGAATAAATACTTTTTAAAATGTAAATTTTATTAACAAATTTTATAAAATTTTATCTACTCATATGTAATTTGCAATCAATTTTTGTCTACCTAACATAAACAAACATACACAAACAACAAAGGATATTGTTATTTCAAAGTAAGGTTTCTCATCTTAAATTGAATATTTAAGGCAATTTTGCAGAGTCTAGGAATAGGTTAAATTTTAGGGAAGTTTGAGAAATTTAGAAATAATGTCCTGCCCAAAAAATGCATGTATTTGGTAATCTGTGATTTTCTTCACTTTTAGCAACAAGAAGTCAGTGCTTAATTTAAGTTATTGAGTGTTACATGTTCTATTTTTGAAAAACAGGACAAAGCAAAGATTTGCTTTTAAAACCTCTTCCTTACATTATAATATACACACAATGATTTTATCATCAATAAAGTCATTCGTTTTGCCGATAAAAAAAATAAATAATATATGCACAATGGATTCAACAAGAAACAAAATTTTACTACTGGTATAAAAATTGATCATAAAATCTAATACAAAACATATGCAAATGGACAAATTTACAAAATTCGTTCACGGGATCCACTTTTAAAAAAATATATATTTATCCATACATTATGTGTCTAATTATGTCATTAGTTTATGTGTTTGTAAATTTATTCCAAGAAACATAACCCATAAATGAAACTATATTAATTACCAAACCCAATTTCACTTAAGACTACATTACATAACCAATATTATTCTAAACATGGATATAACTCCAAAAGAGACCCAGACTAAGAAAATGGTTAAATGAAAAGAAAAGAAAAAAAAAAGAAAAGAAATACTCTCATATTTTCTTTACTTGTCTCAATATAGTAATAGTAAATTAATGGAGAAAGGGGAAATTTTTTTCTTCTTCTTCATCTTCTCTAAACTGGATTTTGATCAGTGGAATTGGGGCTCTTCTTGGCTAGATTGTGCTTGTTGTTGTGCATCCAAACCTTGAGGACTCTTCTCTTGACTCCAATCTCTTGGCAAAACTGTTGCACCACAGATTCCTCTTGTTTCTGAATTTTCCACCCAACTTTCTCAGCAAAGTTGAGCATTTTCTCTCTCTGTTCCTGAGAAAACTTTGTCCTGAACCTCTTCTTCACCAGCTGATGAGATGATGGTCTAGCCACCACCACCCCTCCACCACCACCTTCACCTTGTTCATCAGACTCAGAAGGAAGTGATCCCAAATTGTAGGACATAATCATCTGGTGGGCTTGTGTTGGTCTAGGAGTTGGGATTAGGGCACTTGTAGGGTACGCTAAAGCATCTGGACCAAAAATGTTCTTATGATGGTGGTGGTGGCCCAAAATGAATTTTCTCCCAATCCCAACTCTGTTTGTGGTGGTGGCGGGGAAGCAATCACAGGAAGAGGGCTCACCTTCAATTTCTTTTCTGTGGAAGTTTCTGTGGCAGTTACAAACTGAGCAAGTTAGGGCTTCTAGGGTACCCTCCAATCCACTAGGCATGAACTCACCACACCCATCTGTGGCATTCCCTCCCATGGAAGCTGCATGGTTCTTGAGGCATTCTCTGTACCTGATCATTTTTTTGTAGGGCACATGATGATGGTCCTCTAGGAGGGGTGGTGGTGTTGTGGTTGTGGATGTGGGTATGGAGCCATTGTTGGAGGAGGGGATTTGGATTTGGATTTGGGGTTGAGGTTGAGGTTGGGGAATTATGTGATTGTGGGGTGTAGCATCATGATGGATCATGTGACCATGCCCATATGAACTGTTGATTGGAATTGGGATCTCCCCTTCTTGACTTGAAAGATCCATTTTTCCCCTCTATTTTCTAGTCTCCCAAACACAAACACAAACACAAACACAAACACACACAACCCTTATCTTTCTTTTTCTTTGTGCTTCTTTGTTTTTTTTTTATTATTATTTGTGTTGTTTGTTTGGAGACCAAAAGAGAAGGAACAAGACAGGAGAGAGAGGGGAGACTTAAGGGGCCTAAATGATTAATTTTAAATTATTGAGTGTTGACTGTTTAAATTCTTAGGATTTTTTTTCCTTTCTTAAGAATTGTCTACTCTTTTGGAAGCAACACACTCCACACACACACACACACACACACACACACACACACACATATATATACAACTAGCTAGCTAGCACACACACCTATGGAGGACTCTTGACACCATATCTTGAACATAGTAGTCCTTTCAGACCAAAGGAAATTACCCACTTATGAAATTCATGAACAAGATGAGAGCGAGAGGGAGAGCTGCTGAAATCTAAAATGAAGGAACTTCAATGAACTCACTAGCATGTATGTAGTAGATAGCTAGCCATGAGAATTGAGGACAAAAACCAGAATGAGCAAACAGAACTCTCTCTTTTGCTGTACAAATTTCTATCTCTCTCTTGATAATAGTGGAGTGGGGAGAGAGAGAGAGAGAGAGGAAGGAAGGAAGGAAGGAAACACTTAGAACAGTTCCATGAAAAAGACTGATAGATGAAGATGGAATAAGAAGATGGTAAAAGAAAATGAAACACTAAATAACATATGAGTATGTCTTTCTTCTTCTTCAACAGAGATGATGAGTCGTACTAGGGGCTTAGGAGAGAGAGAGAGAGAGAGAAGAAAAAAAAAACTCACATAATCATCTTCTCTCTGAAAATCTTGAGCTTAAGCACACCTTCCATAGCAAAAGACAAAACTGTCTGCATGTAGTAAGAGCAAGACAATGTTTGGTAAAAGAAAAATAGAGAGGTTTTTGGATTAAAAAGCAGAGCAAGTGGGTGATGAAGGAGAAGACAAGAGATGGACAGAGAGAGAGAGAGAGAATATGGAGTGAGTTTTGCAGGTGGGTTTCGCTAGTGAAGCACTAAACATGAGCTTATAGCAGTAGTGAGAGGGCCAAAAAAGGGTAGAGAGGAGAGAGAAAAAAAAATTAAATTTTTTTTATTTTTTTTATAGACAGAGAAGTGAGTTTGAGAGAGAGTTGGAAGAAAAAAAAAAAAAAAAGTGCAAAAAAAAAAAGAAAGTGTGAGGTGCTTGCTTAGCTTGCACTATCAGGCATCAAGTTTACGCCATATGGAGAGCAGTGTGTCAGAGAGTGGAGAGGACAAAGAAATGGAGAGAGAGAGACCCACTAAAGAATTATTGAAAATTAATGGCCTTGCAATATAATTTTTGCAAAATCTTGTCTTAGAACCTCAAACATCTGTGATTTCTTTTTTTTTCTTTTTTCTTTTTTTTTCTTTTTTTCACTATTTATCACAAAGGAACAAAAAAGGAAAAAAAAAGAAGATACAAATTCAGAAAATTGGCCATTAAAATTTATTCAGAAATGAGGTGTATGATGGAAATTAAACTTAGGTAAGTTTGGCAATCACTTAAAATAGTTAAAAAAAAATTAAAAAAACACACTATCAAATTCTACCAAAAAGTTAATTAAAATATAGCAAGTTATCAAAATATAATCCTTAAATGTGTTGTTGGTCATATCAACAGTGAATTTAATTCATACAATTCAAATTTTAAGTAAATTTATAAATATCTTTTTGGATAAATTATAAATATATCTTTTGAGGTTTGCTTAAATTGTCCCATGTGATTTTAAAAATTACAAATGTTTCATTATCAAAATTCATCATTTAACAAAATTGACTAAAAAATTAAATTCCTAATTATCCTTCTATACTAATACAACAATGAAAGTACCATAACTAGTAATTGAAATATATTACTGACATTATTAAAAATTATTAATTGATTGAATAGTTTATTAATAAAATGAACTATTTGTTATTCAATTAAAAAATTTAAGGAGCGAGATGTAATTTTTAAAATTATATGAAACAATTAGTATTTTAAGTAAATATCATGAGATGTATTTGTAATATATTTATTTATTTGAATTTATAGCATTGTTGAAATTCACCATAACACTATCTATATATCTTTATCCTGCTTTCGTTATTTATTTATTTATTTTTGGTGGAAAAATTGCGTGCTTCAATTCCTTACTTAAATTCCAACCACTCTCTACTTTTCACTAGCTAAAGCTTAAAAAAAGTACATTTTTTATTTTACCTAATTATTTTAGTCATTGTGTTCTCCAACCACGCTCTTTATTTTAGCTAATCATTTAAACTAGGACAAATTACACTAACAATCCCTATAATTTGGGACTTGTGTCACTTTGGTGCCTGACTTTTCAATTGTGATATATTTGACCCTGAATTTTGAATCTTGTTCCAAATAAGGACAATTGAAGATACCATTGTTTAATTTCAAGGGCAAAATCGTCAATTTAATAAAATATAAACTAATTTGACAAAAATAAATGTCAAAAAAATATTTTAAATTTTTTAAAAATTATTTTTATCCACCAATGATAAAATTATGTAAAATTGATAAAAATTAATAAAAATTACATGATTAATTTTTAAAAATTAATTTTACATGATCATCATCCAAACATATAATAAAAATTAATTTGGTAAATAAATAAATAAATGTCTAAAAGATTTATCAATTTTACATAATTTTATTTTTAATGGGTAGAAATAATTTTTAAAAATTCAAAAATATTTGTTTGACATTTATTTTTGTCAAATTAGTTTATATTTTATCAAATTGACGATTTTGCCATTGAAAAATCTAATGATATCTTCAATTGTCTTTATTTGGAACAAGATTCAAAATTTAGGGTCAAATGTGTCACAATTAAAAAATCAGGGATCAAAGTGACACAAACCCCAAACTATAAGGACTATTAGTGTTATTCACCCTTTAAACTAACTTAATTAATTTTTAAAATAAAAAAATACTAATTGTTGATATTTTACTAATATAAATTTGCAATAATAATAAATTTGCCCATACAAAACTTGTAGAATGAGGAGAAAAAAAAATACAAAATAAGTTATTCCGTAATTCATCAAACAGAATTGAAAGAACATATAAAATTGCTACATACACACACACACACATATATATATATATATAATATAAGATCCCAAATCCAAGACATAAATATACAAAAATCTAAAATATATACATACATAATTGTTTGGAGAGCCTCTAGGGCTCTTCAATTGTAACCACCAAAAAAATAGGATGATAAAGTAGCTAACCCAATAGCTAGCCCATTGGAGCTTAAAATTAGACTTACATTGACTAAAATGCCTAATAAATCTTGTTTAACTATCCCCTTGAAAATACTCTACAGGAAAACTTCAAATGTATAAATTTCTAAATTTGTATAAAGACAATGTTAATAAATGATACCCTGGTTTGGTTAAGATTTTTTTGTCTGGAAAAAAAAAAAATCATCTTTTTTTTCATTTTATTTGGAATTTTTTTTTTTTGAATTTGAAGATTTTTTATTTTTTATTTTGAATCAATATTTTGATAGCGATTGAAGCTCTGACATTCCAATTGAAAGTATGTAATGACAAATTGAACTAAGCCAATTAATTTAATACATTATCAATATTGGAGAAGTTTTTCATTAAATATGCTGATAAAAAAATGGGATGATAAATAATACTTCTCCATTTAATAATTATCAAATATAAATTAGGCTTTTAAATTTGATAAAGTTTCAGCTTTTAAAGGAGAAGCCATCCAATTTTTATGATAACATCATATCGTTTTTAAGTTGATGAACTTAATGAAATTTTTTTAGTGTATAAAGCCAAAAAAAAAAAAACTCAAATTTTATTTTCCATATTTTAATACATGTTATAATCAATCATTCACATCAATAATGTTGCTCTTAAATGGCCAATTTTGGGGCAATTGTAAACTCGAATATCTTGAATTTAACCCTCATTTATGTCTCTTAAACTTAACCAATATTTGTAGTTTATTGATAATTACAAATATTTAGAGTTTATTCTATATAATTAAATTCAAAGAGCATTCTTGGTTACAAAATATATAGGAGAATATCAAAAAAGTGGGCAGATAATAAAATAATTTCAAACGCATGAAAGTATAACATTTTTTTGCACAAATTAGTGCATGAGCCATTATGTAATTTACAGGTAAAAAAAAAAAAAAAAAAAAAAATTAGAAAAATTTCCCAAAAAACCCCTCCCCCCCCCCCCTCCAAAAAAAAAATGTATACATATTACTCTATTTGATTAAGTTTTTAGAAAAAAAATTTAAAGAAAATTAAAACTTAGTTTGATAAATAAATAGAAAAAATCCATTACTATTTTTATCTAATTTTCTATTTTTTTGAGAGAAATAATTTTTTAAAATTTAAAAATAAATTTTTTATTGTTTATTTTATCAAACTAATTTCTTATTTTTTCTAAAAAAAATTTTAAAAAAAAAAGAAGAAGAGAATCTTAAAATTTGACACATCTTATCAGTAAAAAAGTTTTTTAGCTATAGCTGTGAGGACAAGTTTGTCATGTAACTAGGGCATATTTATATATGTAGAAGAACATATGTTTTGTATCTATACATACATATATTTGTATTGTTAAGAGAAATGGCCAAAAGGTAAAGAGTGATAATTAAATCCTTTAGCTGAAAATAGGGTGCCTTGCTTTGTGGGATTGTACCCACCTTCACATCCTGGACTTTCTGCTGTGGGAAAACTATCATAGCATACAGATTTTACCATAGACCTGTCAATAATAATAATTAATAAAAATAAGATAAATTATATTGATTTCTCTTAAAATTTAAAAAAATATATACATAATAAATCCTATAAATTTGGCATAATTACATTAGACACCCTTAAGATTTTAATTCATATAATACTTGATTCCCTTTTCATCAGAAATTCGTTAGTCGTATAAATAAAAAAATAATGTTATTATTATATTGACATTGAAATATATATTTACCTTGTGTATATTTTTTGTGTTTTCATACCATTAGTTTTAATCTTTTTAACCTTACTAAAAGAAATGACAATGTAATTATGTTAAAACTGTAACAAACACTTGTTACATTTTTTTTAAAAATTTAAAGAGAAATCAGTATAATTTATCCATAAAAATTAATATAAATAGTAGTATATGGTTTTTTCTTTTCAAAGTTAGGTATTGACATCACATATATTCACTGTGTATTTACTTTCTTTTTTTTTATTAGTAAAAAGGAATACTTTATTGATGATATGAAAAATACAAAAAATATAACATACATCAAAAAAATAAGAAAAAAATTACTAATATCCTAACCAGACTACCGATCCCAATTAGATTGTGTTGTGTTATCAAGAGGAATAATCTCAATAATAACACAATATATGACAATGATGTCCCGTTGGAGTACTGGGGACAATATGCCATTTCATTGATTCATACGCATGCATGACACCTTAGGGACCTGTTTGTTTGCTATCATGTTTTTGGACATGATTATTCTGTTTTGTTTAAAATTTCATATTGGCAGTGTGTAGAACCAATAGAAAGGAGTTAAATGAATGTATAATCATAAAAATAAACAAATTGTGGATAAATTATAAATTATCATTAGATAAGTACACTAATGTTTCTAATCTACTAAATGATTTTTACATGTTTTGAGTTTTGATTTATTTAAATCTCAATCTTTTATTAATATTATGTGAAAGAAGATGAAAAATGACAAGTGAGTTGCCAAGTACAATTTTATGACCATAATGGTCATTTAACAACTGATTTATTTACAGATTTACATATATTTGAGGTATATATATTGACATGTGCAGCTCATATTTTTTTAATCAGTGACAAAATGATCTTTTTTTACAAACCCCAATAAACAAAACAAATACTGAAATCAAACATCATAGCAAAACACTCTAATTCCAATTAGTTGGCAACGAAAAACAAGTTCAATCATGTACAAGCGTACTGCTATA